TATGAAAAATAACGCGATTAAAATATTTTAACGCAGTTAAGGCACTGGCCCCGCCCCAGACCTGTACGTCATCTTACATTTCATACAGTTGACTGTTGACAAATATGATGCAGGGCAACAACTTCATAAATGCCTGAATTTGATAATCTGGGACAGGTCACGTTGTAATCTGGGACATATGTATTAGGCCTAAAAAAGCCTATATTCACCATACTTTATGCATGCCAAACACAATATCAGCAATTTTTAAAAAGCATTATGAAAAAAATGACAAGTAGGCCTACAGAGATCTCAATAAGAAAATGTGCATTCCAATATCAGGAAAAATAATTTCTATCTCTAATATACTGTGTTAATTCATTTTAATTCATTTAAAACTATTCAAATTGTTTAACATTGTATTAACATTTGAAAGAATCAACTAAAATTTAAGCAACAGCAAGCAACAATTTGATTAATGGATTATTCAGTCAGTTATTCAAGTTCTCCATTCTATTAAAATTGGGGCTACTCAGGGAACAAACACTCCGTGTGTGTGTGTGTGTGTGTGTGTGTGTGCGTGTGTGTGTGCCTATTTAAAGATCATATTTTGGGTTCAGTTTTTCTGGAGATATTATGCTTTATTAGTAAGGTGTGTACAGAATGTGGTCTTTTAATGTCTAGGTACATTAAGCATTCTTTATATGAATGGAAAACGCTTAACGTGTAAATAAATACGTTGCGTTCACATTTTGGGCTTATGTACGTATCTGCACGTAGCATATGCTTTACAATTTTGTCTTTATCACTGTCTTGGTACATTAAGTCACATGAAGCCTTATTTGTGTTGCGTTTTAATGTCCCTGTTCAAGTTCTGCTAATTCACAAGCTGAGTAAGTCATACGAAGGTGATGTTAATTAATAAACCAAACAAAATCAAAACTTATAAAAAAAAAACAGCAACATGATACTTTTATTAAGTGACAGGCAGTGGGTTTAATCGGCGACATTTTTAATAGATTTACTATCCGGCGTCTGCTTGTCATCTCCGCGACCTGCTTCCCTTGGGGTTTTTAGACAGAGAAAAGGCAAAAAAATACACTGCATTGTTCAGTTTTCTCTCAGAACCATGATCGGAGTTACTTTTGCAATTCTTGATGCAGCAAGAATGACATACAATGGTGACATTTTCCACAATCACGACAGAAAGGCAGCGCAATCCTCTCAGTATGGCGGATAAACAAAGAAGTTCCCTCTCGAGCTTTCACGAGACATCACGGAGATATTTCTCTGTTATGGGAACGATATTCAATCCCGCCGTGAGACAGGCTACGAGCAGCCTGTACAAGTTACACACTCAGCGAAGATAGAACATACACAATTCCCAACCAATAGCGACGCTTGTTAGGCGGGCACTATGGCAACAATCTGCAAGATCTGCGCGGGACCGATAGAGCCGCTGGATCAGCACGACTACTGCGTCGCCTGCCTGGGCCTGGGCCACGCAAAGGCGGCGCTGGACGAGTCCAACTGCAGGCATTGCACGGGCCGGACCTCGCGGCCTATTCGGGATGAGGCCCAGTGCCGCTGGTGGGCCCTCCCGGTGACGGGAGCGTCATCTTGTAGCTCCACCAACCACAACGGTCGCCCCGTTCCCCGGTCTCACTCCCCGAGAACTGCTTCCACCCTCCTTCCAACATCGCGGAGTTTGTGTCTTTTAGCCAGGAGGAGGGGGATGACTCGATGTCCATCTCGGCCTCGGAGAGGGAGGATTGGGCGGGATCGGAGTCCGATCAGCCGGACAGCATGGGGCCCCCAGACCTCCAGGAGGAGCTCACCCACCTTGCCAATAAAGTGTATGCGTCTGATGGCGAGGCGGCTTCCGCGCTGCAAGCCATGGCAGTGCTGCAGGTTTTTCAGGCGAAGCTCCTGCAGGCAGCGGAGGGCGGAGCCCTCGCGGCAGAGGCCATTAAGGATCTGCGCGCGGTGACGGACTTCGCGCTGATGGCGACGAAGCGAGCGGACCAGGCTGTGGGTAAGGCCATGGGTTTTATGGTCGTCCTTCAGAGGCACCTTTGGTTAAACCTAGCTGACCTGAAGGATGCTGACCGTAAAGTGCTGTTGAATGCTCCTGTGACTCCCTCCGGCCTTTTTGGTGACGCCATGGAGTCCATTACAGAGCGCTTCGCGGAGGCTCAAAAGCGCACCAAAGCCATGAGTCACGTGATGCCGAGGCACGCTTTCCAGCAGCAGACGGCGAGATCCAGATCCTCGTGCCTAAATCACTATCTACCCCCTTCAGAGCGCATCACTGGCTCACCTCTTCCAACCGAGCCAGGGCCAGCTAATCACACTAGTCAAACGAACCGGGCTTTGGGGGTCAGGCACGCTCGGGCACGGTTAAATTGCCTAGTGCGTCGGCGCCAATGGCCTCGTGGGCAGCTCGCCGACATGTAGCGCCTTTGCGCTTCGGGCGTCCCGAGTTCGAGTCCCGGCTCGTGGACCTTTCCCGATCCCACCCCCCTCTCTCTCTCTCACCCACTTCGCTTCCTGTCGCCCTACTGTCCTATCTAAATAAAAGGCATAAAACGCCAAAAATAAATCTTAAAAAAAAGATTGCCTAGTGCGATACACCCTTATTCTCCAGCATCCCGCACACACGAGTCTCTACCCACCCGCACTCGCCCATCAAGTGTTATCCCGCGCCGCACTCTGCTGCGTTGGGTCCCGCAATAGTGCAGGTCTCTACTCGGGAGGTGCCTGTTATAATGTTATGATCGAGGCTCTGGACTCTGAGCATAACTTGTTTTTCTATAACAAACTGTAAAATATTTTCTATAAAAACTTAATGCCCTGGCAGTGGCAAATAGCTTTGGTTTTATATTTAATTTGATTACATTAATGTTATAAGTTGAGATTTACAAGAAATATTTTAACTGCTACTATGTAAAAGGAATACTGCTGTAAAAAAGCACCTTATTTGTTTAAAGTGTTTGCAAACCAAATGTTATTGCACTTTTGCTCATATAGCAGTACTTTTAAATGAAAAAAGTGCACAATACACTACTTTTGAATTCATTATTGAATTTTGTGCATAATGCAATTAATCACAGAACATCATGCGATTAATCACGATTAATTAACAACAAAAAAAAGTAATCATTGCCCAGCACTAATTAATAGTTATAGACACTGCAGGTATCTTTATGCAGTTCTCCCTTGTAGTAAGAATGGAATGTGCAATATCTGTATAATAGATATTAAAGTGAATCCTGCTTTATTCTGTCTTTTACCCGCTAAGATGCTAGCTTCATATTGTGTGTGTGTGATGAACCATACTGATAAGAGCCAGGCAACCTTGAAGTACAGATAAGTGTTCGGTGTGTATGTGTGTGTGTCGGCATCTTTCTCTGTGTTAGATGAGAAAACTGTCCTGGAGAAGTTCATCATCTGCTGCCATTCTGATCAGGAATAGGTCTCTGGAGAGACCTGTTACGTCTGACCCCCTGATCTCTGTCGCCTAAATGACCACTTAGAGATATGCTTTGAGTTTTACGTCCATATGTGGAGATTTGCTAAGTTATCTAGGTTTCAGCCAACCAGAATGTTCCTACCCTATGTATTGACGCAATTAGTGACCTCTGTTAGAGTATAATTACTGGTGTTTCGAGCACGTAAGCAGAGCGGCCCACAAACTTGTTAAAGCTGACTTCTGACTTCAAAACGGGGGGAAAAGGGAAAAAAAAAACTTTAAAGGTATAGTTCACCCAAAAAAAAAAAAAATGTCATCATTTACTCAAACTTAAATGACTTACTTTCTTTTGTTGAACATAAAATAAGGTATTTTAAAGACTGTTGGTAACAAAGCTGTTTTGCTTACCAATGACTTCCATTGCATGAATGAAAAAAGAAAAAGAGAGGTTTCTCAAATTATCTTCTTTTGTGTTCCATAGTTTATGTTAGGCCGTTGTAGCCTAAACGTTTATGTGTAATACATTTTATGTTGAATCAAATAAAATATTTCTTTCTAAAGATACTATTTGTAATGTCTACTTAATTTCTCATTTAACACAAAAATAGCATTAAATAATCTTTTGGGGGTATTTTCACAGCCAAATGTTATTTGCGATTAATTAGATTGATTAATCGACACATCATGTAATTAATTAGATTAAAAATTTTAATCGACTGACAGCCCTAATACACACACACACCAAACCCTTCTGTCCCAGAAGTAATCCCCTTGTCTGCTGAATTTCCTATATGGGGAATTGCTTTCTGGTGTGTATGGGCTGCATTCACTACCACCGAAGTTCCAGAGCCAGCGACGTCCGCAGAAGAATTGCCAGAGGTGGCGGCTGAGGCTGCAGAACCTCCAGAGGCAGCGGTGCTCGTTTTGGATTCTACGGAGTATAGAAAGTAGAAAGTAGTGTATTGTGCACTTTTTTCCATTTAAAACTACTGCTATATGAACAAAAGTGCAGTAACATTTGGTTTGCAAACACTTTCAACAAATAAGGTGCTTTTTTACAGCAGTATTCCTTTTACATAGTAGCAGTTAAAATATTTCTTGTAAATCTCAATTTATAACATTAATGTAATCAAATTAAATATAAAACCAAAGCTATTTGCCACTGCCAGGGCATTAACGTTTTTATAGAAAATATTTTATAGTTTGTTATAGAAAAACAAGTTATGCTCAGAGTCCAGAGCCTCGATCATAACATTATAACAGGCACCTTCCGAGTAGAGACCTGCACTACTGTGGGACCCAACGCAGCAGAGTGCGGCGCGGGACAACACTTGATGGGCGAGTGCGGGTGGGTAGAGACTCGTGTGTGCGGGATGCGGGAGAATAAGGGTGTATCACACTAGGCAATCTTAACCGTGCCCGAGCGCGTCTGACCCCCAAAGCCCGGTTCATTTGACTAGTGTGATCACTCTGCGCCGCGGTTCGTTTAGCCGGCCCTGGCTCGGTTGGAAGAGGTGAGCCAGAGCGCGGTTCACTTGGGCTCAGGCGTGGTGCGCATGTAGTGTGAGCGGACCGCAGAAATTCTGATACATGCAGCATGATTGCGTGCACATTTCTGAGCGGCAAAATTATAGATCTGTAAAGCAATATATTGTGAGAGGGCCGTGTGTTATACTGCGTCCCAAACGACTCAAAATAATAAACCACAAAGTTAACAAAATGATGCACTCCACTGTGCTGAGCGAGAGCGCTTCTCTGCTGTCTTCACGTGCTATCGGAAACTTCCTATTTCCCACTTATGAAGTCGTGAGTGCTTCATGTGAGCCCTGCTGCAATCTTAGACCCACCCAAAATGCTCTCATTGGTTGAGATAACGCATTAACGTTGACAGCCCTAAAAAAAAAATATATATATATATATAAAAATAAGGGCTGGGCAAATTAACGCATGCAATTAATCTAAACATTTTAAAACGTTAACATTTTTTTTACGCAAATTAATCGTTTGATAAGGTTTGACCCCAGCTTCTTGCCATCATCGCAGCGCGGATGGTTATCTATCATTGTGTGATAAGCGTAACATTACAGTGAACGCTACTTAATATGATGGCAGAAGACACGACGCCTGGTGTGCTGAACAGCAAGTTTCATTATAAAAAGCTTCCAGACGGAAGTTTGGATAAAACGAAAGTTGTGTGCACTTATTGTAGTGATGAACTGTCCTTCCACCGAAGCACGACAAGTTTGAAGTACCATCTTCGGGCCAAACATAGTTTTGCGGATGTTAGCAAAGATGCCAGTGCTGAGACAGCATCAACAAGCCGTGCTCGTCAAACGACACTGGATGAGTGCAGCCGGGGCAAGCCTGTCAACAAAACAACAACAGCAAAGCTAACTAATTCCATCACTAAATGGATCGCCACAGACTGCAGACCCATCAACATAGTTCAGGACCGTGGGCTTCAAGACATCATTCAGATTGCCTCAGGTGACCCATCATACCAGTTACCTTCGAGGGGAACTATTGTAACAAGAATACATGAACTGTACGACACTGAAAAAGCTAAAAAAAAAATTTAAAAAAAGTGAGTCAGTTGGCAGAAGGTACTTTCATTGCACTTACTGGAGAACACTGGACATCAGTAAGTAACCAAAACTACCTCAGTGTAACACAGCACACCTAATCGATGACAACTGGCATCTGCACTCATTAGGGTGGCCATATGAGCCATTTATATGGGACACGTCCTGGCCATGATTTTTATATTGCCTAAAACATCCCAAGTAGTTTGACCAATAACATGCAGGTATTGTACATAATCGACCAATCGTGGCGCGTGAGAAGAGTCAAAGCGATGCAAATACGCGCAAGTGTTCGTTTGTTCGTTCGACTTGAAGCTGCACCGATCGTTGTATGACAACAAAGTACCGTGAGAGCGATTTGAAAGCATAAGGAGCCATCTGCTCTGCTCTCTATAGCTCTCGTGAAATAATGTCATACAACGATCGATCTGCACAGTGCTAGCAGCCAAAACCTGGATAATTTAGGCAATATAGAAATCCTGGCAAGGGTGCGTCCCGACCATTTACCAAATCATCAAGAACTTCAAGGAGAGAGGTTCGACTGCAGTGAAGAAGTCTTCAGGACGTCCCAGAGTGTCCAGCAAGCACCAGGACCGTCTCCTCCTGAGGAGTCAGCTATGAAATTGTGTCACCACCAGTGCAGAGCTTGCTCAGGAATGGCAGCAGGTTGGTGTGAGAGCATCTGCACGCACAGTGAGGCCAAGACTTTTGGACAACAACCTGGTGTCAAGAAGGGCAGCAAAGAAGCCACTTTTCTCCAAGAAAAACGTCAAGGACGGACTGAAATTCTGCAGGAAGTACAATGATTGGACAGCAGAAGACTGGTGCAAAGTTATTTTCTCTGATGAAGCTCCTTTCCGACTGTTTGGGACATCTGTAAAATCGATTGTTCGGAGAAGAAAAGGTGAATGCTACCATGAGTCCTGTGTTGTGCCAACAGTGAAGCATCCTGAGACCATCCATGTGTGGGATTGCTTTTCAACCAAGGGAGTGGGCTCTCTCATAATTCTGCCCAAAAACACTGCCATGAATAAAGAATGGTATCAAGAAATATTTACACACACATATATACATATTATATATATATATATATATATATATATATATACATACATACATGAGTAGATGTGTGATATGGCTGTATTTCGGCCATAGGTAATCACAGCATGCCGATATACAGACATATCTCATGGCTACAAGTGTGTTATTGCATTTATACAGTACAACAGTTCAATGGCACGAGTGTGCAAATACATAAAAAAAAAAAAGCTGTGTCTTTAAAAGCCTCTGTTACTAATTCGAAAACGTCACTTTAGAACTAGTAACAAAGTAATGTTGAGATGTTTCATTAAAAGCTGATTGTATTACTGTATTAAAAGTGTTGTACTATGTATAGCAGAGTATTATGAGAGAGAGCGAGTGACTAAGCAATCCTGATTACCTGCATCTGATACAGCATTGATTCTTCAGATCAATCTCATATTCACAATAAAACATTAGTTTGAATGTCCGATAGGCTTGTATCATCCTTTCATCTGTTAAGGGTGATTCCAGATGACAGCGCTGCTTGGTTTATCTGTTGGCTGCGTACAAGCTGGTTTTGAAAGAAAAAATTACTTTCTTGTTCAAAACTGTGCTTTACTATTTTTCAATTTAAAATCTTTACTGCTGACTCATATTTGCATATCATTGCACTTTTGTTGATTTTGATTGCTGCCATTGTCCTCATTTGTAAGTCGCTTTGGATAAAAGCATTTTCACGACGTAGCCAGCTATGAGGTTACCGAGGTCTGGACTTTGGCGTTTACGAAAATAACCTTGGTTTAGGGTCAGCGATATCTTTATCTTATCTTATTTGCAAAAGGTCTGAAATAATTTCGGTTTATTTTTATTTATTTTTCGGTTAATGTTTGATTTAATAGCAATATCTGGCAAGACTACATCGCCGGCACTTAAACTGACAGTAATCAAAAAAGCCCATGGACATGTTATTGCTGAGAGGATATGACATTCGTTAAGGGAAACGCAAAAAAAAAAAAAATCATGATATTATCTGACAGAATCTTTATCAACGCTGTCAAAAACAGTAGCATTTAAAGGTGCTATAGAATGGAAAACTGTATTTCCCTTGGCATAGTTGAATAATAACAGTTCTGTACATGGAAATGACATACCGTGAGCCTCAAACACCATTAAGCGAGGATAATAGCAAAAATGGCAGATCATGGAAATAAATGTTATGTTCCAGGCTGTGCAGGGGATGTGATGTGCAGGGATGGGTTGGTGTCTGTATTTAGAAAGGCACGGAAAACAAATAACGCGCGTTCTAATAAAATAACGCGAGCCACTAAAGGGACATGGTTAGCTGTTTGCTAGCGGTAGCCTGTTACATTACAGTACATAAGATTTCACTTACAACATAAACAGTGTAAGGAGAGATGACTGAGGATGATGGAGAATGATTTACAGATCCTGAGCACCACTGACAAGCATCTGATCTTGTAAAATGTGTGGTAAGTACTGCCGCTGTAGTTTACATAGAGCACGTGCAATCGCAAATCTCGAAAGTGAAAGTAAAACGATCGTGCATTCGAAAGCAGTTTCAATGCCCCGCATATTAATAGCGGCTCCCTGATGCCCGCATTTTATACGTATACAGTATAATTACCCAACAATATAACTGCGAGAGACTGAAATATATATTTTCCCTGTGTTTCCTTCCTGCTGTGTGAGCTACTGAAATGAGCCACACTGTGAAACAGACAATCAGAGCAGAGCTCAACATTGAGCCGCACTGTGAAACAGCCAATCAGAGCAGAGCTCAACATTATTATTCATGACCCTTCCAAATAAGGTAAAAACAGACCATTTCATTCTAGGGACAAATCCTAGGGTTGTAAATGGACATGTAAAACCGTTTCTGGAGATTTTTTGCCCTTACCTAAGCCACATACCTTCTATGTAGATATCAGAGAACAATTGAAAATATTGTATCAATGCATTCTATGGCACCTTTAACACTAGTACACAGATCTGTAGAACTAGTAGGTTACAGAATGAATTTTCACAAAGGCATGTTAAAAACATTTATAAAAGGAACTATATACAGTATACATTTATAATAAGCAACTGATAAAAATATCCACCCCATAGTAAAGTATTAACAAATTTTCATGCAATAAACAGGGTACGATTTAAAAACGATCATCCCTCCAAAACAGAGAAAATATCTTTCACAAACCACAAACATCTACGTGCTTGTCTCTTTTAAAGTGTTTATAATGTATATAATGAGTTGTATTTGTAGGGGTTATTATAGCACAATTCTTTAACATCGAGTGCTTGTAATAACTTCTGATTGTGATCTAAAGTTGATTTTTATTCTATAATAGGCAGACAAGCACTGTCTGTTTCCTTTGTATGCTTTATAATGGATTGAACGCGACACCTGCTTCACATTTGTCATACACATTCTTTATTTTTATAAAAATATCATGAGCTGCATAAAACAAATACAGAATATATCGTCATAATCATATGTTTTGCTTTCATATTTCATGTATAGAAAAATGTTTCTCTCATTTTTTCATACGTAATGGCAGGAGATATTATCCCATGATTGACAGATCTGGAGTAAATGTGCTCTGAGCTCTGACTCCTAACACTCACGCCCGTGGAAGAAAACGGACAGTGCTCTTCAGATTACATTCAGTGGAGAATTAATAGAAATTATATTCTGTATAAAGAACATGAGAGAATAAATCTGTTCTCAGATACCAATGATAACAAGAACGCACCCTCTTCTCTCTCAGAATACTCTTCTAAGTGTACTAATAAGTTTATAAGAAATTGTCTTGTGCAGGAAAGCTATCCTGGTCCAATAAGGAGGAACTATATTTTTCAACATCTAAATAGGAAATCAGTTAATGAATTTGGATACAAATATTTGTTATTTCCTCTTCCACCAGAATATAAAGAAGTGCACTTTAAAATTTTTTACGATATTTATCCTGCTAAGGAATTTCTGAGATTAAGATTTAATGTGGATTGTAATATTTGTCAATTTTGTAATAATGATGTAGAAACTGTTGAACACTTATTTTTCCATTGTTATCTGGTTAATTCGTTTTGGACTGAAGTATGTAATTGGATTAAACAAAGAATATCTATTTTTCCATCTATTACTTGGGACATGTTGAAATTTGGAGTTCTTTTGGAGGACAAAAGTGTAGACTTTGTTGTAAATTGTTTACTCCTCATATTAAAATACTTTATTCACAAATGTAAAGTTCTGAAAACAGCACCCCAGTTTAATGTCTTTAAAAAGGAGCTTGCCATGTATACAGAGGTCCTGAAAATTATGAGAAGTGATAAAGCCAAGAAATTATTTGATTTGTTTATTAATAAGTGTGATTTTGTTTAATTCCCTACATTGTTTATGGTTGCATGAATATATTTTATTTTATTTGGATTAATGTCTTGTATGATGGTTTATTTCTCTGTTATAGTATGATTAATATGAATGTCTCAGTCTGTGAGGACTTACAGTTGTGTTTATGTTAGCCTATTTTGTTCTGTTATGATGCTTGAAATGCAAAATAAAATAAAAAATAATAAAATAAATAAAAAAAGAATACTCTTCTTCTGTGTTTGTTTACACTGGTTTTTGAAACGGCACCACCACTCTCACCCTTTTGTGCAACAGCAGCTGCTCCGGGCACGTGATCTTAGCTCAAATTAATTGGATGGCCCATTATCGCGAAGCGACAGGGAAAAAAAATCGACACACAGGACAAAGAAAATCCTTGCTTTTTCGCGACGTGTCACGCGAATGATCGAACCTGATGTGAATAACCCATAGGGATCTATTGTTTCGATTCAAAAGTGTCATAGTGCCGAACATTCACGTCGAATTTTCACATTCAGTGTGAAAAGGCCTTTATGCTGTACTCCTTTTATTTCATGCAGCAAAAGCAATAAACCCTCCAAATCACAGGTAGATTCAAATGTCCATTTCATCATTCAGTAGCAAAACACATTGCAGATTGTAATAATGGCCAGATTTATGCTGGTTACATTAGCTATTGACAAGATAGCATTGTCCAATCAGATTAAAAGAAAAGCTTTAGAGATGAGTTCCTGTGGCTCAGTGGTAGAGCATTGCGTTAGCACCACAAAAGGTCGTGGGTTCAATTCCCAGGGAACACACATACTGATAAGAAACTGTATAGCCTGAAGTTGCTTTGGATAAAAGTGTCTGCTAAATGCATAAATTATTATTATTATTAGATGAAAGTTATTACATTTTTATAAAAAATGATGAAGACATTTTTATAAGAAAATGCACTAATAAATTATGCAGGAATATGAAAGATTATAATTTAACAAGTTTCCAGGACAAGAAAATAATGTAAACCTCATCATCTGAAAAATATTTTCAGAAATGCTGTGAGGTTGATAGAACTACCAGTTCCTACAATAACCAACCTTTGATAGGGAGTTCCTGAGGGGCAACCAGCAGCTGAGAGCAACCACACCAGCCAGCTTCTGATGAGTTGTCAAAGCGGTGTAGAGAGAGAGGGCTCCGCCCTTTTACCATACACAAACAAATCAAGCAATCATTAAAATATTATAGTTTCATTTATGTGTTTTCAATCGTGTCTAACTCCAGGGCCCTCATTTATCAAGAGTGCGTAGAAAAGGTTTTATATTTTGTCCTACAAATGAAATTTAGAATGTAAGTACAAAAAAAACTATTTATCAAACGTGCGCAAGTGGTTCTTACACACGCCAGTATGTAATCATTGTTGATAAATCCCACGTTCTTAAGCACCATGCTCGTTCACGGTCATTTGCAGTCAGAAATGCCTCCAATGAGCCATATATGGTATATAGGTGACAACACCTCTCTTTATTATCAAGTGAATGTATACGTCCTCACCAAAGTCATGGCAAAGAAAGCTGTACCGACTGAGAAGCCATTCTGTGCTCTCATTAAACTGATCAGCGCGCTCTTTGAAAACCCATTCTCTGCGCATGCAGCACATGGTTTGCCAAATCTTCCAGCAAAGCGAGATCAGCCATGACCATATAGCAACATTTCAAATCGACTTCCCAACTGTCCTTTATAGCATTTAACTAATTGTGCAAATGTTTAGCTTGAAATATGAAATTATTATTTGAGTATTTGCAATTAAAGGACATAGGACACATGCGGCGGCACTTTCTTTTTGTAGTATCACCATTCTACCACTAGATTATCTGCGTAAGCATGCTCAGAGTTGTGCTTATATTTACACACATTCCTATGTATAAGTACAAGTTGGTAGATCCCACACTTTGCGTGAAACTGTTTTTACGCACTCGTTACGCGTGTGTACGCACTGTTGATAAATGAGGGCCCAGGACAGGAGTCAGGACAGACAGAATTATAGTTACAAAGACTTAAACTAGGACATCAGGAAAACCCAAAATCCAGTGGTGATTTTGGTGGTAGAAAAAAAACTTTTCCCCTTCAAAATAATTCTAAGACTGGTTCATAAGATGTCTGTTGATGAGTTTGTCTACATTACTGTCTATATCATTAATAAAGTCTGCTTTTGGGTTCATTTTTTAAACATCTCATCTCAAAGTACAGGGTTCGTACACATTTTTATCAATAAATTTCCATGATTTTCCATGACTTAAGACATAACGCGGGGCAACTTTTTGAGCAATTTTGCCAGGCTACTTTGTTTGAGCAATGTTGCTTGGTCACTTTCCCCAACAGGGTCTGGCTGCAGACTTGCACTTGCACTCTCAGACTTGCACTCTCAGACACTTGCGCTTCCACAAGTGACGTCACTTGCAGTCTTTATTTTTTATTTTGTTCTATTCATTGATTATTTTTTGTTTGAATCTCTCAACATTTTACAACAGTAGCCAGGTGGTGAAGACAAGAAAAAAGAAACTAAATTACAATGTCACTTGCAATTGCCACTTGCACTCTCCGCTACCTGCGTCACTTGCAATCGACACAAATCGTGCGTGTTGCCAATGGAGACTGTGGTGGTGATTTAAGGATTAAAACTAATTTAGTACAATAATGTACATGGTCCTCCAAGAAAAAGACAAGATCCGCAAATCCGTGGCCACAGAACAGCAGAATATGAACGCAATGCACAAAGTCTCTCGTTAAGCATTTTCCTCCTGTAGAAAAACAAACACTTAATATGGTTTAATGTATTAAGATGCTATTAAAATAATAAATTCAATATACAGTTTATTAAAATAATGAATATGTATATAGTATTTTCCACCCATACAGCAAAACGTGGCATATGTGGCATAATGGACTAAGATGATAAAGACCAAACTCAATATGCTCCTCTTCATTATTAAAATATAGGCTACATAACTATGCACAGGCAAGCAGGTGAGCCCAGAATAAACGCAACACGCAAAGTTTCACATTAAGCGTTTTTCCATATAGAATAAACTTTCTACAGCTCTTTTATATAATTGTCTTTGTCCATTAAGCTACGTTACGTGTTTTATTTATAACTATTTTTTATGGGAGGAAAATGTTTAACGTGCAATTTAATGCACTGCGTTCTGGGCTCGTCTGCTTGCCTGTACGGAGTTGATCCTTTTATTATCACAATGCATTTCATAATGCATGTTCATATCTGCTGGTCTGTATATACTTTGCGCCAACAACAAGACATATAGGATACTGAATTGTCTTTATCGTCTTAGTCCGTTATTATGCCACATTAAGCATTTTGCTGTATGGGAGGACAAGTGAAAGTTTGCGCATTGTGTTCATATGCCATGTTTTGCGGTATGGGAGGAAAATACTATACACATATTCATTATATTAATAAACTGTATATTGAATTTTATATTTTAATAGTATCTTAATACATTAAGCCATAGGTGTTTATGTTTTTCTATGGGAGGAAAACGCTTAACGAGAGACTTTGTGCATTGCGTTCATATTCTGCTGTTCTGTGGCCACGGATTTGCGGGTCTTGTCTTTTTCTTGCAGGACCC